GTACACATAAATATACTAGGAGCAGAAGCAAAGCCTTATCTGCGAAAGTACGTCATGACATTCTGAGTAGTTGCAGAGGCATGTGAGCAAGAGTGTGTTATTAAGACACTGCACAAGTCACTATCTGTGATTGATGTTGGCATACGGCAGGCAAGACGGTCAGTACAGCTTACTGAGGCCAGCATCAAAGGTTTAAAGACTGAACAGAGTTTAAATATATTATTCTGCCCTTGCTAATATAATATTAAAGGTGATATCCCTTGTACATTGACGTATGTTGTTTGTATACACACTCCTCAGCAGAATCAGTTTTGGTACGATCTTAATGTCAGTCTTGCTTTATTGTTCCTCATAAGAATTCTGTATTCAGTACTTGCTTTCTGCATCTGAGGTATGAGTCCAGCTGGTCATCATTTTTATGTAACTTCTTCCCAAGACATACGCTTACACTTTAAGTTGGATGTCCGACAATCTAGCATCTGTATCTAGCTCTGTCTTGCTCCAACTTCGCCTCCTCCTCAGTTCCATTCCCTGGTCTTCCTTCCCCTTGTTCCCAATCCTGATCTCAGTCTCCCTCTTGGACAGTTTATGTTCATTCCTTATGTTCATAGGACTATGTTTCACGAGCAGCACAAGATAATTACGAAATGATGGACATATATTAACTCCTGGTCATTTATATACGTGGGGCGTATACAAATGATTTAGACTAACGTGAATTATATGATCCTTGATGGTGGTGGCTCCCAGGTTACACTTCGGCCCGTTCCACATATTCTCCTTGGAGGTCGATGCACCGTTGCCATCTCTGGCAATTTCCGTATTGCCTCACGAAACCATTGTTTTGGGGGTGTCTCGTACCCACTCCCTGACAGCATCATGTAAGGTGTCACTGTCAGGGAATCGGTGACCACGCAGGGAATTCTTCATCTCACGGAAGAGGGCATAGTCACTTGGTACCAGGTCGGGGGAATAGGGCGTTCTCGCCCTCCTTCCATAAGAACCATGCTGTCCGTCTCTGCCCATGGTAGTTGCTCTCCATCGCTTGTATTGCATATCATTTTTTACTTACCTACATACATATTAATGGCTGAATATAGAGTACTCACTGAATTTAACAAAATGGGAGATTATATGTGTGCCTCAACAACTAAATTAGTTGAGTACAAATCAAGATCCACACTTCGACCACTTCTGTGATAACTTATCTTACAGTTCTAATGTTCTCGCAGTACTTTATACTATTAACCTAACTGTTTTGACAATGCAGATTAATCTACAGCTTCAAATTTGTTATGGTATCATGATTACTTATCCAGAATGCAGTAAATGTGGAATGTAGATGCTTTGAGTCCAGTTATTTTCTTTATAGATTACTGTAGATTATATTTCTAAAGAAGTATACGTCATTAAAACTATATTTCTGCTTCATAAATAAATCAAGGACTTTTGCTATGGGACACACAAACACAAAGAATGAAATACATCCTTCCTGCAATAGACACATTTACACTGAATTTTGACATGGTGGAATGCTTTTGTGTAAGCTGTTCTTTGTATATTGAATTTGATGTATTTGCTGAAGATGAAATTTGAGCTTTACAGTGATACTTAAACTCAAATGATAATTCCCTTCATCAGTTAAAAATACTAGCATGCTTTATGGATTCTATTGGTGGAATACAGGAATACCTTTGCATTCGTGAATAAGGTCATGGACTCTGATAAGTACAGTGGATTCCGGTTAATTGGGACACATCGAGACTAGAACACTGGCCCAATTAAGCGGCTTCCCTGATTAACCGGGAGGTCCAGACTGAGACAGACCAAGATGTAGCATGGTGTGCATATACTCCTTTATTTAATTATGTATTATTCTTTTCTCACTTGACAGCTTTTCTTCTGGAAGGCATGTGTGCACAAAAATACAAAAGTTACATAACTTTATAATGCTGCAAATAGAACAGGGAGGTCCAGACAGAGACAGACCAAGATGTAGCATGGTGTGGGTTAAATGTAGAGCAGCTGCACAAAGCTGATGTTTTACAACAGAAAACTTAAAAATAATTCATGAGATAGTGTAGCTGCGTCATATTGTGATATTAATTAAAATAATTATTATATTTGTTTACCGTCAAATCACAATAAAATAGTAAGATAAGATAATTAAAATGATTAAAATATTATCTTATGTTCCATATCGAACATTCGATTTACATCGGAACATTCACAACATGTTTCGGTTTATCAAACCGTCATCAGGTGTAAATTATAAACTTTTAAACTCAAATTACA